AAAAAAAAAAAAAAAAAAAAAAAAAAAAAAAAAAAAAAAAAAGAAAAGAAAAGAAAAGAAAAGAAAAGAAAAGAAGGGAATGAACCTTACTTGACATCAAAAGTGTGTGTGAATTTTGTGAAACAAAAGAGTAGCAGAATGTAAGAAGAACTTTCAAAGAAGAAGAAACAGGGAAAGCAGGAAGAATGGAATGGAAGATAGACCTTTTGTTGTTCTTCCTTTTGGCAGTTTTTCTTTTCCCCTTTTTTTCTCCACTTCTTTTGTAATTAATTTTGTGAAGTTGTATTTTTTTCTTTTTCTTTCCGGGTGCCTTGGGCGTGGCCCGGCACGATAATAATTGTTAGTATTTGTTACTCTTCTCTTAAAAACAGAAAAGTCGACTCATTTCTTCTTTTTTTTTTTCCCTGCTGGTGGAGAATTGCTGTACCCACCAAGTCCGCTGCAATTCCAGTGTCTCTTTTCTTTTTACTGCATGCTGGTATGGGTGTGTGTGATAGGTGGGGCCCTGGGGGGCCATGTTGATGGTAATGGGGAAGGGGGAAGGGGGAAGGGGGAAGATGGGGAAGGAGGAGGAGGTTGAGGGGGATGGGGAAGGAGGCAGGTGGCCATGTGGGGAGGAGGTTGACGGTAGAGCTGGAGAAGTTAGGTGAGGATGGGGGGATGGGTAGGTGGTGAAGGGGGCAGGAGTTTGGTGGTAATGTGGGAGGAGGTAGATCGAGATGGGGGAGGAGTCTAGCAGGTTAATGGCGATGGGGGAAGGAGATGGCAACTGGGGGGGAGAGCGAGGGAGGGAGATGGAGAAAGGGGCGAGGGCAAGAGATGGTGCAAAGGGACAGCGAGGGGTAATAAATTAATAATCCTCAGTTCATTTTCCAGGTGTCCCATAGGCGGTTTCAGGAGGGATATCTATTCATAGGACTGGTTAATTACACACGAGTGATTGGATGTGGTCTCTTATACACATCTAGATGTGTATAAGAGACAGCACACACACACACACACACACATACACACACACACACTCGCGGACGGATGGTACAATCGTGTGTGAATGAACACATACCCGCACATACCCATTTGCACGCGCGGTTATGTGCTTAAAGCACAAAACGGCCGCGCACCAAAACTTAGGACCTTCATAAAAAAATAAGAATAAAACATTGACTGGGTCTCAGGGGCGGAGGGGGTGGGGGGTGGGGGATGGTGCAGCGGGGTGCCCGGGGTGCCCTGCCACACATCCGCCCCTCATGCCCCCGAACCCCCTCGACCGCCATCACGAAACCCGCCCTCCCCGGCCCACCCAAACCCAGCTAAAGCGCACTTAGAGCGTGGGATTGACCGGAGCTCAATGATTGAACTCTGACCCCGCACTCAATCAGCGCGCGGTGACACAGCCTGGATGATTTCTGGATCACTCTACTACGCACTTGATGTCAGCTACCCTCACCTGACAGACCTCTCCATACCCGATATGAGGAAATATTGCGTCAGCCAACATTTCATAACAGATGGATGAGGAATCATGCGGATCAAAGACCTGTGAGACCCATTCAACAAGGACTGGAAATCAGCTGAGCAACTTTGAAACGAGTTAAGATGTGCTTTTAACTCATCTGGCATCTACAGGATAACTTGGACCAGTATTTGCTTAAAAAAAAAAAAAAAAAAAAAAACTTGGAGCAGATTATCTTCTCCATTCCGTTATCCTGGGACCTGGGTTGTTGCACTAAAGAAGGGACCTACTCTCTTGGAGTCAGATTGGGTAGTTGCTCTTCATCCGGGTGGGTCCCGGTTCATTGGAAACATAACGAATGTTCTTACTGATGCTCGTATATCTTTTCAGGATACAAAAAGGGGTCACTCCCTCTCAGGTACACAATCAGATGGCATGGAATTTGTTCCTACTACAGCATTCTACCGGGTTAGGGTTCCGAAGGACGCATCCATTCAACAATGGAGGGCATAGTACCAGAACTTGCACTAGATCCGGAGGAATGGAGATGGCAGACTAGCAAAACTGGTAGACCAAAACCACTTCCCTTAGGGTCAAAGCCACATACCGTATGCTACGAGCCTGCGACCACGGGTGAATGTTAAGGCGATTGTCAAGGATCGTTGGGCTAGGCATCTAAATCTCTGGATATTCAGACCTTCTGTCGGGTGCGCTTGTTCGAAAAGCTCAAGGAGCGTCCAACTCAGTTTTTTTTTTTTTTTTGCGTCCAACTCATTTGCATTACTTCAATGGCAAATTTACATCGTTGCCGCCTCCCAAATTTACATCGTTGCCGCCTCCCAAATTTACATCGATGCCTCGCCGCTTAAGATTGGTTGATAAATCACTCAGCTCTTGAACAACGAGGACTACCGTCTTCCCCCAAACATAACGCACCCTAAAAATGAATGTATACAAGCTATATTTCCGGCCAGATACAGCCAAAATAAGGGTGCGTTGTGTTCGGGGGAAGACGGTAGCACTTCGTTGGGGTGCCAGTCCTGTCATATGGCATTCCTTGATCGCAGAATAAGGGAAATGATTGAACATATTTTCTTACAGTGTCCCGGTTCGGTACTCTTGTGGCGCAGATGGGATTGCATTGGGAGACAAATTGACGGACCTGGATTGGCCATGGGATTGGAGSKGTCTCTTATACACATCTAGATGTGTATAAGAGACAGGAATGAGCCTTGGGGTTCCGAGGGCGATCCTATTAGGAGCATGGGACCCTCCCTCGTCCTCTGATTTTGTTCATAATTTTTTCTCCCTCTGATGCAAAGCTATAATATGGGCACTCTGGGACAAACGTTGTGCATATGCTTTGGACGTAGTAAGGATAGAGGGTCTGGAATTTTTTTGAAACAATTAAACGTTTTGTTCAGACGGAGATTCGAGCTCAATGGTCTAACATCAAATATAAGCTACTAACATTTCAACAAGAGTGCTAGTGGTGCCTGCTCGTACCAGCATCCCTAGCACCTGTTCGGGTTGTTTTATTAAAAAAAAAACTGGGGGGGGAGGGGGGGGGGGTAGTAATGGAGGGAGGTTGGGTCATGTGTCATGGCCAGGGGAAGAGGGTATTGTTGCCCCTTTCCACAGAGATTTTTTTTTTTCAACTCATTTTTCATGAATGGATGACGATTCAACAGGGAGCTCATTTGAGGGCCCCAGAAGACTTCCCAGATTTATTCCCACCTTCAGCAATGGAAATTGTGGACAAGCAATGGTGTTTGGAGATGCAGCCTAAGTCAGACGGCAATAATGATTATTTTTGTAGCTGTTCTCAGAGTATAGGCAGGCTAGAAAAGTATGGTTATAAGGGGGCAAGCATGGCCAATGTTGTCCTTCCAGGAGCTGCCTACACTGAGAAGGAAGGCACCTATGTCAACACGGAGGGACGAGTGCAAATGACAAGGCCTGCCGTGCCTGTGGTCGGCAATTCCAGGGATGATTGGAAGATAATTCGGGCACTCTCCGAAGTCTTGGGGAAGAGGCTGCCATATGATTCTGTGAGCGGAGTGCGGCAAAGGCTTGCAGAGGTGGCTCCCCATCTCTCGCGTATTGACAGTATTGAGCCATCGGTGTGGCTGAATGGAGATGCGCTTGCGCACTATCATGCTTCTGCTCTTGCGGATACGCCCTTTGAAAAAGTGGTTGATAACTTCTATATGACGGACCCGATCAGTCGTGCATCGCAGACCATGGCCAAGTGCACTGCCGCTCGGAAGAAGGAGGTCGCGGAGGGGCGGTTACCTCATCTCTGAGGAAGGATGGAAAAGCTGATTTACAGAACTTACACCATGGGAGGGGAGCAGCGCGTCCGGGGGGCGCTGCGCCCCGTCGACACGATCTCACCGACGAGCGATGGAGAAGCGGGAAGGTGCGGTGCAGTGCAGTTATGACAAGCGTAGCTGCGCGGTGACATGTGGCGACTTTGGGCATCGTGGTGCGTAGGCAGTGCTGCTGTGGGGTGTTGTGTGACGGCGCGTAGATATGCATGTTAGGCACTGCGGCGATGGGCGAACATCCCTGCTCTCCATCTCCTGACATTTGAAACCGTTAGAAGCGCCATCTCGCTGTCTTGTGCCCCTCACGGTGATGCTGCGGGTTAGCGTGCCGTGTGAGGCGGGGTGTGGCTTTTTACGGGGTCGCGCTTCGGGAGGAATCATCTGCGCTCTTCGTCTTGCTTAATTTGGTGGAGGTGGTCGGCTAGCAGCAAGAGGGAGAAGAGTACGGGTGTGTCCCACGAGATGGGAGGAGGAGTGGAGGGGGATAAGGAGTGGGGTGATTGGGATTGTCTGCGTCTTCGCGCCATACAAGCAGCGGTACCAAACAACAGGGAGAGGTCTTCCATCAGCAGCAACGTGTCA